GGTAAATGGCCCATGTAAGTGATATAAATTTTGTCGGTTTATCAACATAAACACCTTGATGTTCAGATACAACATTAATTCAGAATCATCCAATTTTTATCGCGTTCCTCTTTGCATACAATTCGCACGAGGACGTTATCCTGTCTCCGGATGATATTTGGCTCATGATTCGCATCTACTTTTGTCAGTACGTCAATCAGAATGCCGAACAATTGCGTCCACTTTTTGTTAATCATATGGGACAGCAAACATTGACTATCAAACAAATAGGCAGCGGCGAAATTGAGTGAGTATATATACAATTTCAAAAAGAAGAAGAACTTAAAACATTTATCATTTTACAGTTGGGATGATTTTCTCGAGCGCATGCAGACTGAAATGGGCAAATATGTGAAGAATAACGTCATAGAATTACTAAAAGCAAATTTTTCAACGACTACTAAAGTTGAATTGTTTCTTTCCTATGTGGCTACAATGGATGCATTCAAGAAATACTTTAAATATGAAGCGTATGGGAGCGGGTGTGGCATTCGAAATGTTCATTTCTTGGGTACTCTCGATGATTGGAAACTGCTGCGTCACAAAACAGAACAACTTAAAAACTTCACCATGCATAATAATCAGGATAGTTTTACTATTTATATTGATGGCCTATTGCCCATCATCGATCAATTCATTCAAACATACGAGGGCAATGTCAACATGAAGTTCTGGGATGAAGTCATGGACATCAACCATATACGGGGAGAATCAGGACAGTAAGTTCTTAATAATACTAACGAGCGAATGATCAAAGATGTCCGATCGCATTCAAATTGAACTTTATGATATAAATTTGTAAAAAGAGTTCTTCATTAATATTTTCAAATCGAACAAAGGTTAAATTGATCTGTTTATAATGGATTAAAAAAACACACTTATTGATGTTTTCTTTCCATATTTCAGGAAATCCGGAGACTACGTGAATGGTGGATGGATTCTTCGCCTTTTCTATGGATTGCCTAGGGGTGACAATCATCATGTAACAGATATACGACTACCATCATTGATCGTACCCGTGCAAGTGAACAATGAAGTAACCAGAAAGTCAAAACTGTGCTACATAGTCGGTCGCTTTCACGGAGTCCAATCACGTGATGGACGTCACAAACCAGTGATGGGATTTGCCATCATAGACGACACGAGTACTATCACGAGTTTGAAACGTAAATGACTTACAGTATTTATAACTAATTTAAAAACGATTTCTTTTTAAACATGTTGTTCATCATAAATGTCAATTCACTAACAATACAAAGTGTTCGATACTCTTTCAAAAATATCTTTTCGGGACGCTGGTTACACTAGTAAATACGCACTGCACTCTATGCAACAAGCAGTTGGCAAACGTTTCCTCTGTTTGATCAATTTAGAAGAGGAACACTTTCTAAGCCTAGTTCTAACTTCCTTTCAACAGAAAAAAATTATGTTTAGGTGTGGATGCGGGTGTGGATATGGTTGTGGGTGTGAGTGTGGGTGTGGGTGATGGTGAGAGCGTGGGTGTGGGCTTTCGGGCTGGTTCAGCTTAAAATAACTCTCATCCATGCCCACATCCTGCGTAGTTAATTATTATTAATCGAATTATTGCAGGAAAATGCTATGAAATGTTCTGTTACTACTAATTGTCCAGTTTTAAACGGTCTAAATCACCACAAACAATATTGAAATGACTTCCGTTGCATATTTATGTTTGCTTTCGACTTCTTTGTCATTGCTCTTCGTCCAATCGTTCTGAGAGTGTTCTACTGTTGCTATGCGCAGTCCTTTTCAATAGACTGCATGCTTGAAAAGAATTTTAAAAAAACGAAAAAGAAAGAGGCAAAGCACACAGAACGAAACAAAATCGGTGCCATGCTGCAAAAGTAAGAATCGAGTCATTTGAAAAAAAACAAGCAAAGAGAGTACGACGCAAAAAAATTTCAATCAGCAGCAAACGAATCGGTTACAATTATTTGGCTGTGGTAAATTAAATCATGAGGAGGATTCGAAAAGAAAAAGAAACTATGTTGAATGTTGTATATATAGTATTCAGATACTGCAAAAATTAGGAACATTTCATACAGATATGATATTGGCAATCATGGTCGACATCACATAAGTCGATCGATCCGTCAGTGTAGCTCAGTTAATAGAGGTGTTGATGCACTATCTCTGCCGCAAAAATCGTTCGATAATCGCTGGTTAACTGCGGTTCTTCTGCTTGATTTATATGTATATCTGACTTAATGCATATTTTTGATCTCTTAGAAAAAGGACTGATTTCAGTCGAAACGGCGCCTTCTAATTATCGTCAGCGCGCTCTAGCCATCTGTATCAGATACGGTTACATTGGCTGTTTTCGATTACTTTTCAAGTTTGACTATTTATTAAAGATAGCAGCACAAAAATAGTCATTAGTTAGAAGTCGTGAACAATCGAACGAAACGTGATATCATTTGACAAAAATATATTATGGCATGATAAACTCGAGCTTTTTGAATAGAAATTGATCTCTTCAAGACAGAAAATATTAATCTAATAGCAAAGTTTACGAAAACGGTGTGCGGATGTTGGTGTGGGTAGGTGGGTGTGGGTGTGAAGTGTGGGTGTTGGTGTGGGTGGGTGGGTGCGGGTGTGGGTGGGTGCGGGTGTGAGTGGGTGTGTAGGTGTGGTGTGGGTGTGGAGTGTGGGTGAGTGTGTGGTGTGGGTGTGGGTGGGTATGCGTCTTATTCTCATACCCACACCCACACCCCAACCCACACCCACACCCACACCCACACCCCAACCCACATCCACACCCACACCCACCCCACACCCACACCCACACACGCCTACACCCACCCACGCCCACCCCACACCCACCCACACCCACCACACACCCACACCCACACCCACACCCCACCCACACCCACACTCACACCCACACCCACACCCACACCCACACCCTATGTGTATTAACAAGTTCTATTAAGCACCGTTTACATATCCATAGATGGTGTCTTCTTCGCTGTATCCACTGCAGAATGCGTCGAAGGTGGCATCATCTATGGACATGTGAACAATACTTGATAGAACTTGATAATACAAAAATCATTTGACCGAGGATGCCTTTCTCTACAAGCCTAGATATATCCAGTACGATGATCAAAATCTTATAGTCACCGTTCAGAATAATCACTGGGATGAGTCATATTTTCTTTTAGCACTCACTGTATTTGTCCCTACATTACATCGAATCGTCATGGTTTTTGAACAATGCCGGCAGTCGGCAAAGGTAGCTTCACATGAGTTACGATCATTTCTTATCAAAACTATTCTACACATTTCGGTGGTTAAACTACATTTGATAAAGAATTCGAAAGATAGATAGATTGATAAAGCGTCATGAGTAAATGTTTTTCTTGATTCTATCTTAACCGAATTTTAAAAAATGGAGAAAACATATCCAAATTTCTGAGAAAAAGAACTCTTGAGGGTGTGGGTGTGTGGGTGTGGGTATGGGTGTGGGTGGGTGTGGGTGTGGGTGTGTGGGTGTGGGGGTGTGGGTGTGGGTGTTGGTGTGGGTGGGTGTGGGTGTTGGTGTGGGTGGGTGTGGGTGTGGGTGTGGGTGTGGATATGGGTGTGA